TAGCCTGGTGATGGGTATTAAAGAGGGCATGTACTGAATGGAGCACTGGGTGTTATACGCCAACAATGAATCATGGAACACTACATCAAAAACTAATGTATGGTGATTAACATAACATAATAAAAAAATGTAAAAAAAAAAAAAAGAGTACATTTATCATGAGGAGCCCTGAGTAATGTTAAATATACTTGAATAAATAAAAGAAAAGAAAATTTGAGGTGGGGAGCACTATTACTTACTTGGATTTTTCAATCAGAATAAAACTTGATTTAAATTAAAAGGTAAAATAAAGTAAACACACTCCCCCTTGAGACGCTCATCCCTCACTCTACATCGTTTCTCCTTATTATACTTACCACTAGATGATATTGTGGTCTATATTTACTTGTCTGTTTATATAATGTCTCCCCTACCAAAAATAAGCTCTAGGAGAGCAGGGACTTTGTTCATTTCCTTTCTGTATCAGCAATGCATAGAATAGTACCTAGCACATAATAGGCATTTAATAAATATTTGTGGAATATTTTAATATATTGATGTATGAGGTATTCTTTCTTTAAAAAAATCAATAATTTTAATACTAATATTCTTTTAATAATATTAATATGAGGCTTAGCAAGATAAGATACTATAAATAAGGTACTTTGCAGTTCTGAATTTGCCATGAATCTCATAAGAGCTTTACATGTATTTATTTTTAATTTTTTCTTTACTGAATATTAAGTTTGGTTGAGGAGATTACCCTTTGGGGATGGAGAGAGTGGGGTGGGAGTGAGAGGGAAGAGGTCAATCCTATATCTCTTCTATTATCTCTCAGTCAAAATTCAATGCCAAATGTCTTTTTGCCAAGATACCCATATTAACTAGATGTATTTAGGTAATATGAGTCAAAGGCACAAAATGCTTTTCCTAAGATGGTATAAAAACTATCCCTTCTGATACTTGACTTTGTGTGTCAAAATGTTGAGAAACTAGCTGCCACCTTTCCCTTAAAACCTAACCTGAAACTTTCAACTGAAATGACAGTTATCCTTAAAATACCTTAAGAATCCACACTGTATTCCTCACTTTGTCCATTTCAAAGATAACTTTAAATTTGTACTTTTGCCAAGAGTTAAATTGAAGTGCAGATTGAGCATTTTAAGGCATTTTAGGAGTCTGAAAGATTTGTTCTTTTGACATTGAAGGAATTTACTAGTTCCATTCCACACCTCCCACCAGAGATCCTGAGTCACTGTGTCGTCTGTGAAGATGATCAGATCTCTCATTCAGAATGTAGATATAATGACCGATTCTGTGAGAACAAAATTAGTTCACCTGTCAAGTACAAAAAAAGAAAAAAATGTTTAAAAAACAACCTTTTTTAGGATGAATGAGCAGGGAAAATAAATTTACCAAAACTTATCAGGTAGTAATTGTCATGGAGAGAACAAAAGAACACAATCAACTATTTGTTCCCTCAGAGGCTAATTATTCATGTGCCGTTAGTCCAATTATCCTAAGAATCTATCCTTGTTCAGTCCATTGTGCTTTTTAGGCTTAAAAGAGGTATCTCAAAGGCAGAGAATGAGTTCAATATAAATCAGTTCATTTTTATTCTTTTTCCTAAAATTCTTGGGAGTCAAATTTTGGATAACAAAGCCATCACGAAATTAGGTTTGAGGGTTATTTGTGAATTTCCAACATACCTGCCCCCTCCTGACTTCCAACATGGTTATTCAGAGTAAGTTACACTTTGGAAATGCTCATTCTGCATCTCATCCTAATAATAGAAACCAATTGAGTCACATAGAATTATAGTACCTTAGTAAAGCAATTATTAAGAATTTAATATCTTGTGATAGATAAGTTTTATTGTTGAGGAACTTCAAATCCCTAATCTAATTTCACTTAAAAAATACTTTTAGAAATCAAGTTATATCAACACCTATTTATTGAGCACCTACTGTTACAGAGCTTTGTGAAAGATGCAATCAATAATATTTTCAGAATTACTTGAACTTATACAAATGATTCTCTTTTTTATATTTGTATAAGTCTAGCTATTTTACAGAGATAAAATCTTCATAAATAGAGGTTTTTCTTTTAACAGAAAGGAAAGAAATACAGTGGGAGAAACTAAAAGCCTGAGTCTATTTTTATAAAGTATAGAATCATAGAATTTTAGGTCAGGATAAAATCTTAAACTATTATGATTATTTATTTGATTTTACCAGAACTATACATATTACATGCAAATGCAAAGTTAACTGATCATCTATTCATTTAATTTTACTGATGTAAATATGACCAGGCATTTAACCAGGCATTACTTAGTTGGCCCTAAGTTAATGTTAATTCACAATTTTTTCTCTAAATATATTTTGCTTAAAATGGTAAGAAGCATGTATCTAGAAGTTCTGAATTTGGGGCTTCTTCTTTTTAATAGATTTGACATATTCTTTAGATATTAATGAATGCATTTCTAGAAACCAACCTGGGCTTTCCAATTCGGGTTTTGCTTAGCACCATTTCACAGTGGCATTTATCATATCCTGTCTTGTGTAAGTTGACTCCCCAATTAGAATATGATGCCCATGAGAGCAAGAATCATGCTTCTTCACATTCAGTCCAACATAGTTCCTAACTCAGTGCTTTCTACCTAGGTGCAGTTTAAAAATATTGGTGGGAAGGAAAAAGGAAAAATAATAGTAAGCTAAAACTTTGAGGTGTTAGTTTTTTTTAATTTAAATTTAAAACATGTTTTTTTTTAAATGTATTTAAATTCAATTTAGTTAACATATAGTGTATTATTAGTTTCAGAGGTAGAATTTAGTGTTTCATCAGTTGCATATAACACCCAGTACTCATTGATAAAACGTGTTTTTTATGTGTTTCTTCAAACACACAAAACTGATTTCCTAGCTTTGATTGACATAACCAACCTACTCAATCAGATTACTTGTTTAAGAGAATATAGTTGCTCTCCCATGACTTAATGACTCCATTTGTAACTCAGGAATGGTAGAAAGAGCGTGGACTTTGGCACGGGAATTCTAAATCAGCTGCCTACTAGCTTTGTAATGTTGACCAGGCTACCCATTTTCTCAAGCCGCATCTTCTCCTTTGTGAAAGAGGACTGGTAATACTTAGATTCCTGGTTTATTGTGAAAAGAGAATAGTTTTGAATAACTATCCTGCTTGCTCCTTATTCAGAGTGGGATCATGAGTAATTAATCTAATTTTCAGATTTCCTGTTATTTAATAAACATTAATTAAATCATTCAACAAATATCATTGAGCATCCACTAAGAAACAGACACTACACACACACACACACACACACACACGCACACATTAAATGCTAAAATCTAGTTCTACGTTAAATAAAGTACAGGAGGCTAGACAGCACAAAGACAAATAGGGGGTTTATTTCCACCCTGGGAGTAAAGAGAGATGTCCTGGTGGAGAAGATGAATGAACAAGACCTGAAACAGGAATAAATGTTGCCACATGAACAATGTTTAGAGAGGAATTTCTAGAGAAGGGGAGAAAATAAAAGCAAGGGGGTATGGTTTACATGGGAATGCCCCAAAAGCAGGTTCCTATATTTGAGTTTGGAAAGTACCCAAGTGGGCACCAGGCTCAGTCAGAAGAGTGTGCAACTCTGCATCTTGGGATCATGGGTTCGAGCCCCACATTGGGTGTAGAGATTACTAGAACATACCCAAGAATGGGTAAGAATGATAGTAAGAATAGGTCCAAGCCAGAGCAAGCTTCAAAGTATTTTATAGACACTCTGAAAGGTGTGAAACAAGGAAGTGACATAGATAGAATGCATTGTAGAAATTATTATAGCTAAAATGTGTAGAATCTATTCAAGAAGTAAAATGGAGGCATTACTAGAGAAAAGGACCAATTAGAAGGCTGTGACATTCATCCAGGTAGAAATGATGCTCTGAATGATATAGTTGTAGTAGTAATAGGAACATGTTTGAGAAATATTTAGAACATAAGATAGGTAACACTACTTGGTTGTGACGTTGAGGGAGAAGGAAGAACCAAGGTGGATATTCAGGTCTCTGGCTGTTAACCAAAGCTCTGAAGCTAGGAGGAAAAAAGTGGGTTTTGAGGAGGGAACAAATAAAAAATTCAGTTTAAAATATGTTGGATTTGAGATTGCAGGCAGACATGTCCGGAAAGCAAATGGATAAGTGAGCTTAGAGAGATAAGAGCTGATGATAAAGATTGAGATATCTACAAAATATTGCCTACCTTTCAAATGAAGCTAAGGATTAAGTTAGATAATGTATGTAAAGGGCCTAATGTTACAAAGCACTATAAATAAAATAAATCAGATGCATATTTAGGTACCTCATTCAATAAATGTACTACCTCTCTTATCCTGGGCAAAATTATCAAACCAATCTCTTTATTTAGGTAGAGCCTGAAGTTAAAGTGACAGCTTAACTTAAACAACCTCCCTCTAGGTTTTAAAGAAAGCTTAATAAGCTGTCAATCTTCCAGTTATTTCTTCTCTAATCACTAAACTCTTAAGGAATTGGCTTAATGGACCATCCTTCCCCCGCTATAACCAGTCAACCAGTCCTCTTGCTACTTTGTTAAATGCCTCCTGGTATAAAGGACCCTGCCAAATTCTGGTAAAATCTGTCCTAACATAAGGGCTTTGACTTAGGAAATATAATTTTTTTAAAGACTTAATTTATTTATTTATTTGAGAGAGAGAGGGAGAGAGCAAGCACATGAGCGGGGGGAGGGGCAGAGGGAGAGGGACAAGCAGACTCCCAGATGCCGGGGCTGGATCCCAGGACCCTGAAATCATGACCCGAGCCAAAGTCAGAGGCTTAACCAACTGAACCACCCAGGCACCCCAAAAATAAACTTTTTAAATCTACCAATATAAAAGTGAAATAATACAATTGAGAATGCATTCCTTCAACATTCAGTTCCAACTAGGGAATCCAAATCCTGACAACCTTGTGGAAGATGGAAAAGATGGGGAAAGATGGAAGGAGTGGTAACTGTTCCTTCTCTCATTTCAGTCTCCACAAAGCTCCCTCTCCAAGATTATAGAAAGTTACCACCCATCCAGAGAGAGCAGAACATCAGGTGTTTCCTTCCTTCCACCCTCCCACCCTCCCTCCCTTCTTTCTACTCTATGCCTAATGTGGGGCTTGAACTCACTACCCAGATATCAAGAGCCACGCACTCTATGGACTGAGCCAGCCAGGTGCCCCAGGTGTCCCTCTAAACCACTTCTAAAGGACTCTACCCATCTAATCTTTTAAAACTGACCTGCGCAATCAAGAAAACCTTACTTTTAATGCTAATTTCTAACTATGGATATCTTATAAATATAATTAAGAAAACAGTATCTCCAAACTTTTGACTTACACTGATGAATTCTTAAAATTCTTTTTTGTTATGTTCAAAATTTAAGTTGGATCAGCTGTATACTTCACATCTACCATGCCATAATATTTGAGAATTAAACTGACTTATTGCCACAACCTGATTATAGAAATACTTAGTCCATAGTCTGTTGAGTCATGATTGTTCCTAGGATGCAAAGAAGCCTTGTCTTTCAAAGGTGAGGCTTATTCAGTTCATTCTTTATATCAAGTAGAATCATCTGGATTATACTTTCTTTCCTTATAGTCAAACTACCCCTGAAAACTAAGCTGTAAGTAGCACTATGTTTTCTAGTCTGCATATGCACATTTGCATTAGAAGAAAAAGCCTTTCATGAGATCGATAAAAGTCCCCAAATATATACCACTAATTTTCTAGGTATAAAATCTGATTTGGATCCTAGCTTCAAATCATTAAAATCAAAATTCCATAGTGAAAAATGTTGGGCAAATTACCTATTAGAGCCATATTTTGTGAACTGTTGAATTTATGGACAATATATTTTCTGCAAATATCACACTTTAATTTTCCTAGTGCTTATACAATGCCATAGAAAAGGTCCTGTTTATGATCCCTTGGTTCTCTCAGGAGAAAAAGAAAGAGAACTAATTTTCCTTATGATGAAATGGAAGAATTCCTCCTTGAGAACAGTAAGCAGGCCATGAAAACCCCTGTCTGCACAGATATGAAGGATGTGCTAATACAGAATTCCGTGAACTATTTCCCTCTTTGCTGCAATTTAAAATAAATAACAAGGGAGGAAGAAATGAGAGTTCCCATTATAGCTGAACGAATATAATTTATATATTAGGAATTTATTGACTATAAAATTTAGGAAACTTTTGGAGTTAATACTCAGGAAGTGGTATTATGACCCTGTCTGGAAAAATTAAGAAAAAGATTCCAAAAGCCAGAAGAAAGCCTTCTAACACCTCTCTCAAAGCTGCTTGAGCTACGTGATCTTACGTTTTAGTCACTAAGCATTCAGTCAATCCAACCAGTTTCACTCACCTAGCTCACCCGCAAGTTAATGACTCCGAATCAGTCAAGATTTCTATGTTCTTTTATCTTTTAGATTCTGATTCAAATACAAACATTCTCCTGCCTTCCTACAGTTTTGCATGAAGCACATCATACCTCTCCCAGCCGGTAACCAGTATCGTCTTCTTAAGAACCAGGATCTGTGAAATATCCACAGCTCCTTCTCTCCCAACATTTAGTGTGCAGTGACAGTATCCACTGAAGTCCCATACCTTTAAGAGAAAAACTTAGTCACCTTTGAGACAAGAACAGAAAATGTCTTCTTCACTGAGTAAAGTATCACAGTGTAATAGGATTTTTTTTTTCAAAGATTTTATTTATTTATTTGAGAGAGAGAGAGAGAGAGAGAGAGAGAGAGAGCACATGAGAGGGGGGACGGTCAGAGGCAGAAGCAGGCTCCCCGCCGAGCAGGGAGCCCGATGCGGGACTCGATCCAGGGACTCCAGGATCATGACCTGAGCCGAAGGCAGTCGCTCAACCGACTGAGCCACCCAGGTGCCCCAGTAATAGGATTATTTTAAACTTTTGTGTTTATATTCTGGACAAGAGCTGATTCACTTAGCGTATATCATAATTAAGAAAATCCTCTCACCATTTAAATTTACCCATTATTTTTTGTTTGTAATAATCCTATTACACTGTGTTATTTTACTCAATGAAGAAGACATTTATATGACTCAATAGCCTAAATCAGCTATTATTAGAATAGATCAGGTTACAAGTAGAATAACAAAAAATAATGGGTAAATTTAAATGGTGAGAGGATTTTCTTAATTATGACATACCCTAATTATATACACTCATATAAAGGCTTTAAATGAGTATGCATTTTTTTTTTTTATATGACAGAGAGAGACACAGCGAGAGAGGGAACACAAGCAGGGGGAGTGGAGGAGGGAGAAGCAGGCTTCCTGCAGAGCAGGGAGCCCGATGCGGGGCTCGATCCCAGGACCCTGGGATCATGACCTAAGCCGAAGGCAGACGCTTAACCATCTGAGCCACCCAGGTGCCCCAATGAGTATGCATTTTTAAAGGGAAGACTATAAAATCATGCACAGCCACATTTTGGAGTCTGTTGAAACCCTGGTTCTTTCTCTAAGTGTTTGTCTCTAAATTTCAGTTTCCTCATTTATGACACGGGACACTTACTGCTCTGGGACATTTGGAGGATTAAACATCTAATACAGAGCCTGAAACACAGTCCTTATGGATAGGTTTCCCATCTTCTCCCAGTAAAATGTCCTGCTGATAGTGGATGACAGATCCCATCCTACAGAGACACAAGCACTTTGAGTTTACTTCCTCAGGCAGGTGGTGAGGACACAGGCCCAATGGGTGAACTTTACAACAGAACATCATCAGATCACTAAAACTAAGCCCTGCCATGAAACATCGTTGGTGTATCATCCACAAAGAGCAAGTGGGCACTATCAAAATTAAATTGCATATACCCTTTGACTAGACTCGCTTGACTTTCAACTTCTAGAAAAATCATCTCACAGAGGCACTTACATGTGTGAAAAGACATATTTTGAATATTTTTATATTCTTGAAGCAGTTTATAAAGCTAAATACCTGAATCAACCCAGGTGCTCATTAACAAGGGACTCAACAGTCAGAATATGGAATACCTATACCGTAGCATACAATGGAACCATTAAGAAGAATATGTCATTTCTATATTTCTAAGCTCAGTCAAAACTGGACCAGCTATGGAACCTTAAGCAATTTGCTTTATTTCCTTGGGTTTTAGTTTCCTCCTCTGTAAAATTGGCATATAGATATATATGTGGGGGGATGTGGTGGGGGTGTGCATTTGTGTGTTTGTATGTGTCAAGTGCTTAAAACAGTACCAGGTTCTTAGTGAGCATGCAATAAAAGTTAGCTAACATTATTATTATTGTATGCATTCATATGACTCAATGTCCACAATAGAAAAATGCAAAACGCAGAACAACATATCTATCAGGCTGCCCTTAAGAAACAGATGCTGCCCTTTGGCTAGAAGGATGCACAAGAAACCAGTTAACAGTGGTAGAGCGACAAGGGAGGAGCTGTGAGCAGAGGTGAGAAAGAAACTCTTCTCACTGTGTAACTCTGATATTTCAAATTTTATTGTATGATTACATTAATTATTCAAAACACTAATCAATTAAAAATCAGACACCTCGAAACCATGATAAATAGGGCAATACTTTTAAATCATGGATGACATAGGTACTGGTTTTGGATCCTAAATTATAAATGATTGGAAAATGTCATTCATTCTTGTCTCTTCATAGAACATGAACAGCTCAACCCAGGTTTATACATCTTACACAGAGGTTGCCAAATTTCAGAATTCTGTTGTGATATTATGATAAAGACAAATATACCTTCAAAAGCTGTGATTATACTACTAAATTCACATTAACTTTGACGATGCAAAGCTTGAGATGTTGAAGAGTGCACATGCTCTTTACCCATGTCACTTCATTTTCCTCTAAACGTGGCCCTTAGCAAACCCACCTAAAATAATACCCACAAATAGGTACTGTAAAGATCTGATTGTCCCCAGGTCCAACTAAGTCCCTTAGCTGGGACTATCTGCAAGCTTTTAGCAACCATCTGCAAGTCTGCCCTACTCTGGATTCTATAACCGGTTACTTTCCAAGAAAGGGGTAAAAGGAACCTAGTCTACTCATCTCATTTCTCAGTTCAGTCTCATGCCCCAGGACCATAAGTGGGACACTCACTTGCTCCTTTTGCCTAAGTCTGTCTAAAACTCCAGTTCCAGTTATTCCTGTTTTATTCCACCTTGACTACTGGGGTTGGAATTGTCCCGTCACCTTCATACATCTTACCAGTTCTGTAAACTACATTACTTAAACCCAAGCTCCCAGTTCTTACCTCATGCCATTTAATCTTCCCAGAGGCCCAGCTCTGTTGATTTCCAGAGATTTTTCACTGCAACCTGCCATAGCACCTCCTTCACACTGACAGTGGCCAGCCTGGCATCCCCCTAAATTCTTGCCTCCAACTTCCATCATGTTCTACCCACGTATCCAGAGAACTTTCCATTACCCTCCCTTGCAGCCTACCAGCATGCATCATACACCCCACCATGGAAGGCATACCTCATTAATACCCTCTGATTCTAGCTATGACAGAAGTTTGAGAATCATTCAAAGCTTATTCTGGGAAACTGCCTTCTGTTGCCTTAAAGTGTCACAAGCCATCTCCAATCAAAGACTGTCATTAGTCTCAGAGCTGAGGGGAGCAGAGAGGATTCTCTGGTAGGCATGATTTCAGATAGCAAGTATCTAAGCTTTGCATGAAAATTTGATCATTTTTGCAAAGCATAATAGCACCTTTCTCCCAGAATAAATAGGTAATAGTTACAAAACAAGAAAAGTGGAAGTATTAAATACCATTAGTTTAGGATAATAAATAAGATGATGATTGTTCTGCTTACGATCCTTCTTTACTGTCTCACTTTCCTTCACATAAAAGTGCAAATTATAACATGGGTTGATTTTAAAATATTCATTTGCCCCCAAATTTGAACCCGCCATCTTAAAAAGTTTTCTTGGTTGCCCTGATTTCTCATTTTATAAACTAAGAAGAAAACCAGAGATAATAGCTGAAGCATAGGAAAATTATTCGGACTTCTTATTCCCCAAAGTAGTCCTCGATCCAGAATACTGGAAAAGGCTTTCTGACATAAGTAAGCTAAATTGTGTTTTTATTCTAAATAATTTATTCAGAAAAATCATTTATTCATTTTTCCACAAAAGCTTTTTTTTTTTTTTTCCTGACAGATTGTTATTAGATGCTGCGAATTATTTAACTCTTCTGATCTCATCTTTCCTCTTGCATGGCCAAAAAGGCAAAAACAAATATAGCTATGCTATGTTTCCTCACATAGTATTTTAGCTTCCTTGTATCTGGGTAGAAAAGCATCACTGCGTCCTCACCTTTATGGTCCCATCTGTGCTGCCAGTCAAAAGCCGTGTCTCATTTGCATCAAGGGCCATAGTGCTGATTTCTGCGTTGCCATGGCAACCAGTAAACTGTTTGATTTTTTGCCCAGTGTCTATCATCCAGAAGGAAACAGTAGACCCCACGTCCGAGCTGATTACCTAAAAGAAAATAACCTTGTAAAGAAATTAAATATAGCCCCAGAATCCACCATTTTTATTTCAATAAAAATACCTAACCTGTGAATTTCCATGACTGAGATCCCTCCCCACCCCACAATAGTTAGAGATATGTTTGTGATGTATGTTCTTTCTTTTTGTTAAGCTGATAACATTTCAATTCTTCAGCCAGAATGGAAGTAATGAAGGCATGATTCTCTTTACCAGCAAAGATAGGAATCTACTTCCCTTATGCACCATTCAGCTGGCTGTCTAGAGGTCATCCTGAAATTGAACCCTACTGAAAAGAAACTTAAAAATCTACTGCATTTAGATGAGAAAGTTGATTTTATTAGTCACGGTGTTCTGACACTATTTACTATATGAAAAGAAGCATCTTACTGTATTTCACCTTCCCTTTAGCATGCAGAAGAGAAAGCACTACCAGACATTATGGGAAAAGAAGTTAATTTTAACAAACCAATAGAGCTATCACTTTCTTTCTTTTTTTTTTTTTAAAGATTTATTTATTTATTTGACAGAGAGAGAGATAGCGAGAGCAGGAA